TTTCCTTGTACTATTGTGGTCAAAAGTAATCACATGGCTTTCTAATGGTTGTTTACTGTTCATGTATATTATAAGATGTTGCCCTAGACTTCAAAACGGAGATTTTATTTACCTTCATACCGTAATTACCTTCTAACTCTGGTTTTACTATTGCCTTGAGTATGTACATAGGAGATGGCTGAAACAGACATCACTATAGAGTTTGTGGTATTTTTTTAATATTTGGTTGTTCATATAGTGTGTGCCTTCTCTTACAGCACGTTTTTGTGGCTAGGAAGCATAGAGTTAGTTGAACAACCTAATAGTATTGTAAGTGGCGATACTTTGATGTAGTGAAGGAGATGTGCCTAAAGTAATATACAGAAGAGCCTGTGAGAATAGAAAATTAAAAAGTTACAGTAAAATTTTAAAAATTAGATTGACATGTTATCTTAGTTACTGCAAACATCACTTTTCCTACCTACACTTCTAGACATGACACCTTGTAGAATGTAGTAAGTAAGACATGCCATTTCTTGTAATTGTAATTACTCTGTGAAGGCGGTAAGCAATAATCTACAATGCTGCAGTATAATACAATTTGTTGTTTGTTCTTGGTAAGTCTTGTGGTAATTAAACAATCAAAATAATAATCTTGTAGCAGCTTTAATGTTACGTTGTGTTACTATGGTGTTCTACATTTGTAGTTGTATCACCATTTTGCATTTGTAGTCGTATCTCCATTCTACACTTGTAATCGTATCTCTGTACAATTACACTGCCAATGTGACAATATCTATTATCTTGTATGTTACAAAACAGAATTTATCTTGTTGTAGGTATGGTCCTACTCTATCAAGTGGCATTCTACTGTCTTCTTTATGGTTTGTATCATCAATAAGTGACTGTAAATTGCTTATTTACTGTCAAATTTTTTTAATTTTAAAACATATTTTTTACGGTAAAATAATGTTATTTAATCAAATTACCGATTTTTACGATACAAGTTTACTGAAGAAATATTATTTTTGACGACAAACAATGTCAAGTTATGAATTTTGGGTAAATAATTGTAAAAAGTAATTACTGCCCAATATACATGACAACATTGCATGTCAGTAAATTGTCAGAAATCCGCGTATTTGGCTTTGAATTCGTGTTCATAACTACATATTTGTAAGTAACCACCTTTATACCTCGGTATCCATAGTCAGTATTACTTTTTATACTGTGAAAACTAGTTGTTTACGGTGTTGTGATCACCAAAATTATTTTAAAAATATTTTACTTTTAAGAAGTTACTGTGTTTTTTAAGAATTTACCGTGTATTCTAATGTCTTACTACGTGTTATAATGCTTTATCGTGCTATAGCAACCGTTATCTTATATTGCCCTAGCATTATAAATTCGGTATTATGAAATAACAGTAAACAGTTGTTGCAGTGACATCTCGTGACCATATATAACTTTTGGGGCAATTGGCACATTCACACGACAGACATCATGCTTACCGTAACCGCTTTCCGAACGATGTTTTTGATGGTTCTGATTGTACTAGGTGAGTTGAGATGACATAACAAAAAAAAACTCAAATAGACACGCATTTTTATATGCAAATTACCTAAATACGATGAAATTTAATTTTTGTTTAAAATCCACCTTTATACTTTATTGTACTGTGAAAGCTAGAAAGTCTAATATCAGTGAGAGAGTTGACCCAGAACCAAGAATTTTAATTTTTAAAATTAAATTACTTTAAAATTAAATAAAAAAGCAGCCAAACGTAGCTTATGATCTTGCAAATTGCGATAATTTAATAAAATCAAAATTCGAACCTAAGGGAATTAACTTCGGAATTGAGAAATCTTATTGTCAACAGTTTACACGTGCTGTAAACAAACACTTTTAATTAACCTTAACCAAAGATTGTGGGATAAAGTAATCATTTTGTTAAGAAAATTAAAGATCAGCGGATAAAGAGGGTTGCAAATTACAGTAGTACAATATGGAGTATACTACTGTAACTGAAATGTATAAAATTTTATTTTTACCGGCTTTTAAGGCCGTTCAAGTTTAATTTTGTCTTTACTGTGAGCTTAAAACGGCAGTTTTTTTTGAAATTTTTTATTAGGTTGTTCGAATAATTCTGTGCTCCTTCACAACACAATTTTTTGATGTCAGGGTGTGCAGAATTACTTTAAAAACCTAATAAAACAAAAACAATTAAAAGTTTATATTACTTTCCAATACTTATACCCTCATGTTACAGTATGCATCAGCCTAGCTACAGCGTTGCCAGCACAGTACCCCTCAGTGTACGGGCTGGAACCGTCGGCATTCGACTATCCCCAACTAAATATGGCCAAGAAATGGTCCCGACTGGAGCCTTCGATCCGCTTCTTCAAACGCTCTTATGACTTTGATAATTAATAAATATTATTAAGATGTCCGTGGTTAAAATAAAACGTTACCTACTGCAACAAGCGAGTGTTGCCGAGATGTCCTTGTCTTACCGTAATATCTTACTGTAAACTGAAGTATCTTCTTACTGTAAAAGATGTTTTTTAGTTAAAATTACTGTAAAATTTCTAACAATTACAGTACTTAAAAGAATATTTTACAGTATATTCAAGTACTTTATAGTACCCAAAAGCCCATTTTAGGTACTTAAGTATACCTGAAGGTACTATCGCTTGTGTTTTTCTAGTACATCTGGCAGTTCAAAGAGTAATTTTAAAAGTCTGTAATGTTCGTGTCTGTTTATCTATGTATAAGATGAATATCTGATGATTTTGATACAACGTTCCTTGGATACGTAGTTGAACTTGTTTTGTAAATAAATTCTGTTTACAGTTGTAACGGGCTATTATTTGATAACATAAAATTTATATATGATATCACGATTCACTAAAAGTAAAAAAGTAAAATACGTACGTAGTTCAAGCTGACCAATATATGTATTTTACTTAACTATATATATAATACTATAAACGCTTCAGACGTTCTATATATTTTTAAACAAAAGATATATAATTTTACCTCATTGTACATGTAATAGACATAAAAACATTCTTTGTATGTTATGACATATATTTGTATACTTTATCACAATGTTTACTATATTGAGTTATATTTACTAGACTTGAAGAAGATATAAAGTGTGCTATAATCTGTCCAGATTTCCGTAATAATGATCTCCTTTACTTGAAGTAATATTCGTATCTAATTCTTGTAATATACATATACTGGTAATACTAGCCAGATTACTTCTTTTGTTTAAGAAAGTAAAGATTACTTTTTATATTTTTTGAGTCAAAAACAAGGTGACAACGATTGCCTTCGGCAAATGATGCTTGTTTATGTGGTTGTAAGCATAGCAACTGTACACATAATACTAGAAATGGCAGTTTTATTTTTGAAACAAGTAAAATTAAAAAGAAGAAGAAATATACTGTTGTTCAAATAATTCTGTTCTCCTTAGTTTCGAAAATTTGCTTTGAGGTAGAGCGCAGAACTATTGGATCAACCCAATATGACAAATCCGAAAAAATAAAAACCAAAAAATCAAATTGTAAAATTCATTTTTATTGTACTGAAAGTGCTAAAACCAAGTTCAAAGTCAAAATTTTTAGTTATTCGATACAAGACTTCATTTTCTACTTTTTACGTGCGACTGTGCGGTCGCCACAGAGCCACTGAGGTTCTGAGTCATAGATTATGCGTTGTAACTGCCGTATCGTTATGTTATGCTCAAGGGATTCATAACCGGTAGCCATATGGTAACGTATCTTCTCAATCGGATTCAATACTCTGCGAATATGTTGGTTAGATCTAGTTGTCTTATATTGGGTATGTTGAGTTTTACACGGTAGGTTTTTGTTCTATCTTGTCAAATTACACAGTCTTTTTAAGCATGAATAATATAGCTTTTAAATATAACTTTCATATTATATTATATATACTATGTTTTTAGGTTCCATCGACAGCCTTCTCCAGTCCATAAATGCCTCTATCGTCAACATGCTCCAGAAGTATTTGAATACGAATTGAGAACACATAGCAAGCACGGCGAACCAACCGGTTCGAGCCAATACTGACTGAATGTAAAATTGTGCCACCTTACAAGACTGATTTTATTTTTGAATAAACTCTTGTACTAATTTTACTTATATTTTAATTTTTTTTTAATTTTAAACGACCGATAGTGTCGTTTTGTTTGTCGCGAAATGTCAAAAAAAATATTTTTTCGATTTTTGGAAGATTGGTCAATTTATTGTCGTTGTGACTCGTTTACCTCGCAATACACTTTGAAATGTTGCTAAATATTGTTGATATTAAAACCTTATTTGTATTTTCTTTCTAATGTTAAATTTGCGAAGCGTTTGACAAAGAAATATCTTTGCTTTTTCTATATATTTTGTGCTTTTTGTTATCATAATGTTAATTTTTGAGTATTCTTTGTAAATCCGTGTGAAAGGTGAGGGGTAGGGTCAGGTAGGGCTAAAAAGTTGAGGGTTAGGGTCAGGTAGGGCCAAAAATCATTTCAGTACTATTTTAATAATACTGTGCCATTTTTAGTACCATTCTAAGTTTAGTACAAAACTTGGGCCGCCCATAATTGAAATCGCTCATAATAGAATCGCCCATAATTGAAATTGCCCCTAGATACCCACCCGTAACCGTTTTTACAGATATATTTTTTTAGTTTATTTTGTAAATGTTTTTTGGAATTCGGGCATTATTGGATTCTGAAACTGTTGAAACTATCTTTAAGTGGGTAGATAACATTGGTTATCGACTAACGTAAGGTTTGGGCTATTTTAAAAATAATTGTTAATGTTTGGGCTAATTTAACAATTTTTATTCAAAAGTTTTTTTTAAATATACAAATTTGAAAACAGCTTTGCACTTTTATTTTACGTCTTTGTCATAGAAATTAATTTTTTCCCAGAGAATTTTAAAGTTTTCTAAAACCTTGTTCAGTTATTTCATTTTCTTGTCTACTAACCGGTCGGTTTATAATGATGTTTTACATTTTAGTTGTCCTATCGTTATGTTATGCTCAAGGAATTGACGTCAAGGGCATTGTCGAGGACCTGATTACGTATCCTATCAACAGACTTGAGGTCTGGGATAACAGTACATGTTTCGATCCATTGGGTCGGCCTGTAAGTGATAGATTAATATATTACAGTAGGTCTTATTCAGGTCAATAGCTTGGTTTGCACCTTAGTTTATCAGTACTGTGATGGGGCTTGGTTGAATGCTTACAAACTCGACGTTCATCCGAAAGTCTACGAACAGACTACGAAGTCGTGCTGGCCAGATTATCAACAGTACTTTGAGCTTTTTAAGAAAGATTTTCAGAAGAAATGTGATACGGTAAGTCTATCGTATGTTTTGGTACCTTAAACTGAAAATTTAAAATTTTTTAATTTGGGTTTTTAGACTAACGACTATGTGTGCCAAATCAGCGTTTATCCTGCGTTTTATGTATCGACCGATGTTTCTTTCAACAACTCTCGAATGTTAATATTCTGCCAGCACTGTCAGGCCAAGGTCGCTCCATTCAATAACCCTAATGACGATGCCTTTGACAAAATTTGTTATACTGGGAATGATGCGTGGTATTTGGATGATCTGAATCCTGATACTTTGATCTCTGCGGTTATCAAGAACAACTTTGCGACATTTTATTACAAAGGAGTTGGATCTATTGTCTCAAATGAAAAGGTAATAATTTTTGTTATGCTGTTTAGCTTTTAAAATTTTCATGTTTAAAATTATTTGGACCAGGCAAGTGAGTTTGACCGGAGAGAGGTAAAAACAGTTTTGTTATCCATCGTTTGAATGTTTTTTAAAATACTTAAAATAGATCAAGTTTAACATGTTAGAAAACTCAATTTCAGTATTGTGAACTGACTCAAACCCTGATAAGAGTACCTAAAAGTGCTAGGATGGCATTGGCACTCAACATGACTTCTCTTGATGAAAGTCAAATCTGCGATGAAGAGTTGTGCTACGTCAAGGGGTCAGACAGTATTGCTGGAGATGCTGAGTATGTAACCATTACGTCTGCGACTTTGGCAACACTCGAGAAGCGACCAGACCCATACATACTTCAATTGATGGATATGAAGAACTACTTTGGTTTAATCACCGAGAATGGCTCGCTAAGTCAAGAACCTTATGTACTTTTAACGGCTTGTAATCATACCTATATGAAGTACACTTTGGACGGCGAGCTATTTTGGCATTGTGCGGTATTGTATACATCCATTGAGTACGCGCCCGTGCCTTATGCGATTGACACAGGTCAGAATTTTATTATTTTTGTGTATAACATTATTCTCTATGGTACGAAGAAGATAAATAGTAAAGTATCTAGGGAATTAATTATGGGAAGACGAAGTATAGCAGTTAAGTTAATCGTAAGTTTTACCTTATTTGTTTGTTTCTTTAGTTGGTTCATTGGCAACAACTCCAAGAAATGTGTCAGGCGACTCCTACTGTCTACTGTACACGACACGTTTCTCTGATAAGTCAGACATGGTGACCCAGCCTGCTTGTGCTTGTACTGGATATAAATGTGATGATAGCCCAAGGTTTAACATGGAGTTTGATCAAGTCGTAGACATGATTGAAGTATGTTTTATGATAGATTATATTAAAGTTGATTGACAAAATTGTGGTTTAGGCAGTTAATGAGCACGAGCAGAAACGGCAAGGTTGTCTGGGTGGAGGGGAAAAATGTTTTTGAATTATTTAAATTAAATTTTTACAGAACGGATCATGTTACGACAGCGACATACAAGATGTAGTACGCACACGAAGTGCTTTGTGTGTCGCCAAGTTCGTAGTTTATTCTGAAGGTGAAGCTGCCCAGCGCCCTTCTCGCGATACTATTTATGCAAAGTCCAAACTTGATATTGACTATGTAAATGACAAGTATTGTCTTCAGAGGGCTGATTTTAAATGCTACAAGTTTAGAGTCGAGTAAGTTTCTCAAAGGTTTACATCAACAGATATATAGATATTATTATGCTAGTTTAGGTAATGAATTTACTTTTTAAAATAATTCTTTAAATTCTTTGATCTGGAGTATAAGGTATGCTAGTTTAGGTATTACTTATTAAAACAGTGGTTCAAGATTAAATTTAAACTTTTTCAAAATTTAAAGTAATGATCTTTAGAGGCCAATTGCAATGTAAATGTTGTTGTGTGACGACAATTAACAAACCATGCAATGACTACGAGGAAAATAAGGAATTTAAAGATAACTTACTGGCTTGTGCAAGTGGATTCACAGAGCCAGATTTAGAAGATCAGTTTGTACTACCATATGTAAGTTTTGTGAAAGATATGATTGACCAATACATATGATGGTGTTAATTATATCTTTTCAAAAGTTTAGTTTTTTTTTACACGTTATATTATAAAATGGCAGTTATTTGTTTTACAGGGATGAAATAATTTTTTTTCTAAATATTTTTAATGCTTAATGAGATATTGACTTTATGTTATTGTAGCTGTTTTCACCCGCTCCAACAGTCTATCCCATTAACTTTGACCAAAACCCAAAAGTATTTTATGGACTCTACACAGCCTACGACACCGTGATGGAGTATGTCACTATAAGAATGAGAGATCGTGTTGTTTTGGCCAGAGGGATACTGTACTTTACGAATTTAATCGTCAATTCCATATATGAAGACAAGAAGTACGCCTACCTTTGTGATTACACAAAGAATTATATTAACTTTGGGGCAGGAAACTGCAAATGCTGGTTGGATAAGACACGCAAGGCGAGGGATCAAAGCTTGGATTGTTGTTGTAAGCCGAGTAAGTGGTTTATAATTTAAATCTACTATATTATACGTAGTGATTTATATTATTGTTGGTACTGTTATTAACCTATTTTATTTTTGAGTACTATTTTTTGCTTATTTTTGCAATGTATTATCTGTGACTTGAGTATTACACAACACTAACAAGCTAATCACAAATTATTTCAGATTCAATCGACGTTCTCTTCAAGTCCCTGGCCGGTGTCTACCACAACTACCTCACAACAGATGACGAACTACAACCAGACTCCTTAGCTTATCGAGAATCTTGTTCCAATACCTGTTGACTGTTCAAACTGATTCTACTCAGTTATTCTGAAATGTTCAATATATATGGACTCTATTGCTCATTCAGATTACTGCGTCTTTTCAGGGTTTGTATAAATAAAGTACAGTAATTGTATTGCAGTACATTTGTGTGGTACTGTTGGCTTTGTTGGTAAAAGGAATTTTATATTGAAATTGACTATTCGTTTTTAGTTTTGATACATTTTTTGGGCAAAAAATTATTTTTTGGTTTTTTTATTTAAAATTGAGACATTTTTAAAAATTTAAATTTTTTACAGATTTCCCAAGAAAATGTTGTTTCTCATGGAATTTTAAAATAAAAAATTTTTTCAAATGTTTCTTAGACGGTCAATTGTACTTTTTTAGCCTTCCGACCGGTTGGTTGGCTTTACAATGATATTTTCTGTCGTATATACTCTATTGTTATGTTATGCTCAAGGAATTAACGTTACAAGCATTGTGGAGGATCTGATCACTTATCCTATCAACAGACTTGAAGTTACCGATAAAAGCCTATGCTTTGATTCATTGGGACGAAGCGTATGCTTTTTATGGCTTTACTGTATAATCAGTTGTGTTACATTATTTTATTTCCTTAGTACAATACTTATCAGGTTAGTGTTTTTAGACACTTTTTAGGTTAACGCCAAAGACTGTACATTAATTTACCAATATTGTAATGGAACATGGTTGGAGGCTTACAAACTTGACGTTCATCTAGATGTCTACAAAGCAAGTACAAACTGGTGCTGGTTAGATTATCAAAAATACTTTGATAGGTTTTATAAATCTATCGAAGAGAGTTGTGTTGACGTAAGATAACCTGTTTTATCTAGAAAAGCTTTTTTTATTACAGTTTTGGTCTAATATTCCTTTTAGTCGCTAACTACACTGAAACGTGCAGAACTGAGCATAGAGTGAAAGAGTGGCGGAGGGCCCGGTCTGCGGTTGGCCAGCCCCCTCGGCACCTTTCTATGCGGTGGACCCGTTCCCGGTGAGGGCCAAGACATACCCTCCCTCAGGAACGGTTCGGGCTACTTGTCTTGTCAATTGGGGCTCTGTGAAAGCCCTAGCTTCCGTCTGGGACTCAGAGGGGTTTGTATGGTTGGTTGCTGGTCCTGAGACCCGCGATCTGATCAGTACTGGCGCGCTCGTAAATGCTTTCCCTTGGCATATCCCTGGCCTTAATCCTTGGCCGTATCCCTTGGCCGTATTTCCTGGCCGTATTCCCTGGCCGTATCCCTTGGCCGTATCCCTTGGCCGTATTCTCTGGTAGCTACATCTACCGTACTCCTCAACCCGGGTTGGCACATAAAGTCTGTCGACCGTCACTCGCGGTGAGTCGGCGGCCGGATCGATCGATCGATCCCGATATCCAACAATCCCTGGCTTAAATAGTTGCCCCGATCGGGCCCCGTTCTCACGACTGATCATGGCCGCGATGAGACACACATTCCTCGGCCCACGCGGGTTTCCGCGTCTTGATATGATTTGTGTCCTGGCCGGAGCCATTAAATTATGTTATTTCTTGGTTTGGACTTTGGTCCTAAACTAGGATTGATGCCTTGCGCATCACTATAGTTCAAATATTATTTTAATAATTATATTCATTGTTAGGGCGCCGACTTTGTCTGCCAAATCAGTGTTTACCCAGCATTTTATGAATCGATCAATGTCGCTTTCAATGACACTCGACTTCTGATACTTTGCCAGAGTTGTCAAACCAGATTTTCACCATTCAGTAGCTCTAGTGACGCTGCCTTTGATAAAGTTTGTCATATTGGAAGTGATATATATCCAATTGATCTTGATCCTGTTACCTTAGTGACCGAGTTTCCTAAAGACAATATTGCGACAGTTCATTACAAAGCGGTCGGTACGATAACTACATCTCAAAAGGTAAGTTGTATTTTACTATTTTAGACATTAATTTACTTTTCAGTATTGCGAACTGACACACACACTGCTCAAACTGCCAAACGGAACGGTTGCACTTGGATTTGAAAGCAATACTCTAGATGCCAGTAGGTACTGTAGTGCAGATCTTTGCTTTGTTCCAACGGCATCTAGTGACAAGTACTCGAGGTTAAAGTTGATTACTTCTGCCACTGTAAACAAACTTGAGAGTCAACCATTACCGTATATATTGCACATGATGAAGTTGAAGAATCATTTTGAACTTGTGTATAAGAATGGCACAGACGTGGTGTTGAGCCAAAATTACCATCGAATGTTGATGGGTTGTAGACATACTTACGTTCATTATATATTAGACGGGGAAGATTACTGGCACTGTGCTATAGTCTATGGAGATCTTGAGTACTACAAACCGCCCTACGAGATCATTACATGTAAATTTTTTCTTTAAATTTGTAACTAATACAACAACATCTGTTGAACCTTTGTTCAATGGCTAATTTATATATAGGCTAAAGTTATATATAAACCAGTATAATGTAGTGTTTCAGCCATGTCATTAAAAACGACACCAGGGAATGTGTCAAGCGACTTTTACTGTCTATTGTTGACGACACGCTACCCTAGTCTCAAAGACATGGTAACACGTCCTGGTTGCGCTTGTAGTTCGTATCAGTGTGATGTTGGTCTTAAATATAAATTGGAGTTTGATGACATAAAAGATGGTATAAAAGTAAGTGACATAAAAGAAGTTGAGCTTCTTTTAATAGTCGAATAACGATGAAGATACCGCATGCTTAATACTTCAGAACGGATCATGTTACGACAGCGACAAGAAAGAGGTGGTGTATACAAGAAGTGCGTTGTGTATTGCCAAGTTCGAAGTAAACCCTGACGATCCACCTGACAAACTCATTACTATAGATGACATTTATGCAAAGTCCAAACTTGATATTCAATACAAGACCGACAAGTATTGTCTTGAATTAGCTGATATAAAGTGTTACAAGGTCAGGACAAAGTAAGTCTTTCTTTAATCTTTAAATATAAAAAATGTCGTGTTACAGTATACGCTAACCTGGCGAGAGGTTGAGGTTAGTGCTGAAACGGTCGAGTGCGGAGGAAGAAGGGGGAAGTTTTAGGACCAATTTAGCTTCCAACATTTTAGCTTGTCTTGTGTTATGTTTGTTTTGTTATTTTAAAGTTTTAAATTATTTAGAGGTCAATTGCAATGTAAATGTTGTTGTGTGACAACAGCTGATAATCCGTGCAATGATTACAGTCAAAATCCAGAATTTAAGGATACGCTTTTATCTTGTGCCAATGGCTTCAAAGAACCAGATTTGCAAGATCAGTTGGTTTTGCCTTATGTAAGTTATAGTATATAGACTGAAGACTAGCAATGATATTTTAATTTATACCTAAACGACTTTATCTCATTTTAGCTCTTCTCTCCCACTCCAACAGCATATCCAAGTAGTTTCGTCAATAACTCCAAAGTATTTTACGACCTTTACACAGCTTATGACACAGTGATGGAGTACGTCACTATAAGAATCAAAGATCGTGTAGTTTTGACCAGAGGAGTACTGTATTTCATAAATTCAAGTGTCAGTTCTATACAAGTAAACACAAAGTTTGCCTATCTTTGTGATTACAACAGAAACTACATTAGCTTTGGGTCAGGAAACTGTAAATGTGCATTAGATGTGACATACAAGGCTGGCAATAGACATTTGGATTGTTGTTGTAGACCAAGTAAGTGGTGTACAAGTTATAACACATCCTGCTTGTAAATTTTTTAATACTGTAGAATCCGTTTGTACAAAAAAGATACTCTTACTTCCTTACTGAGTGTAATCGGCCAAATTACTATAGTAAAAATAAATTATTTTCAGATTCTGTGGACGTTCTTCTCAAGTCTGTGAACAGCCTTTATCGCAATCATCTGATAAGAGACTTCCAAGCAGAACTACAACCAGATGGTCTACATTACCGAGAATCGACCGACTTGTTCCAATATCTTTTGCAAATTCAAAATAGCATTACCAAGTTAATCTGAAATGTTGGCTCAATATGGATTTTGTTACTCATATTATTCTCTTAATGAGTTATGTAAATAAAGTACAATATTATATATATCACGATAAATTTAATGGATACTGTTAGTCTTGTTAGTAAATACCTCATTTTACATTAAAATTGGGAAATATTTTCTAATTTTAAAATACATCTCTACCAAGATAAAACCTATTTTTTGCCTTTTTTCACAACAAATTTGGAATTTCGACACAATTTTTCAAATTAAAAAATTTTATTTTTCCCAAATTTCGTTTGTTTTGAAATTGTTTTGCTGACAGTTTCTTCCAATGGACACTTGTATTTCTTGCCTACTATCAACCGGTTGGATTTACAATGAAATCGTTTGTCGTGTTTGCCCTATTGTTATGTTATGCTCAAGGAATTAACGTTACAAGCATTGTGGAGGATCTGATAACTTATCCTATCAACAGACTTGAGGTTACCAATAAGACTGCATGTTTTGATCCGTTGGGACGAAGCGTAGGTTTTGTATGGCTTTACAGTATAACGAGTCGGGTTACAGTGTAGTTTATTGTATTATTTAAATTTATTATTATAGTATATTATACTTATCAAGTTGATATTTGTTTTAATTTATTTGCAATTAATGTAGTTCATTAACTCATCATTATTAAGGTTAACACTAAAGACTGCACATTAATTTACCAATACTGTAATGGAACATGGTTGGAGGCGTACAAACTTGACGTTCGTCTAGATGTCTACAAAGCAAGTACAAACTGGTGCTGGCCAGATTATCAAAAATACTTTGATAGGTTTTATACATTTATCAAAGAGAAGTGTGCTGATGTAAGTTAACTTGTTTTATCCAAAAATTACGCTTTTTTATGATTTTATTGGGTGCTGGACTTTTTGAGAAGTTTTTTTCTGGTACTGTGCTAAAAAATTTTAGTTTGCGCGTTCACCAACTGAGATTCCTAGTTATTTATACCTAAATTTAGAAAAACGACTTTGTCTGCCAAATCAGCACTTACCCAGCATTTTATGAATCGACCAATGTCACTTTCAATGACTCTCGACTGCTGATACTTTGCCAGAGTTGCCAAACCAAATTCTCCCCATTCAGTAACCCTAGCGACGCTGCCTTTGATAAAGTTTGTCATGTCGGGAGTGATATGTATCCAATTGATCTTGATCCAGTTACCTTAGTTACTGAGTATCCTAAGGACAATATTGCGACAGTTTATCACAGTTCGGTTGGCACGATAACTACATCTCAAGAGGTAAAATTTTATTTAAAATTTTTACCTGTTTACTTGAAACAAACGCCATGGATAGATGTATAATAACATACTAAAACTTTGACTTTGTAGTACTGTGTACTGAAACACGTGCTTCTAAGAGTACCACACCACGACTCACTTGCAATAGGCTTCACAAGCTTTTCTACAAACGATAATTGGCTCTGCAAAACGGATCTATGTCACATTACAGGGGTGGCTATGACAGAAAAGTCTCCTATGCTGTCACTGATTACTTTGGCCAGTTTAAAGACACTTGAAACAGAACGATTACCTTACATATTACACATGATGAAGCTGGAGAATTACTTTAAACTTGTTTATCAAAATGGCACGAATATTGTATTGGGTCGGAAGTATCACGAGATGGTAACGGCGTGTAATCATACCTACATTCACTACGAAGTGGATGGTGTCTATACTTGGCATTGTGCGACGATTTATAAAGACAATGAGTATGATGAAGACCCTTATGAAATTGCCCCAAGTATGTATAACTTTTAACTTTTTCAGTCTTTTTATTATATCATAATGTGTATTATATTTAAAAAATTTTTAATTTGACTGACTTTTAAACGACTTTTAGTGATATCTTTAACGACGGCATCAAGAAATGTCTCAAGTAAATTTTACTGTCAATTGTTCACATCACGCTACATCGCAGAGCGCGACATGGTTACACGTCCTGGTTGTGCTTGTAGTTCATATCAATGTGATACTGGTCCAAAATTTAACTTGAACTTTGATGCAATCAAAGACAAGATAGCCGTACGTTTTTAAATCTTTTATAGCAACTTTACGGTGCCACATCTAACTCAAAATATGGCACATTAAAAGTCTTTACAAAAATAACTTTAATATTTCAGAACGGATCTTGTTACGACAGCGACAGGAAAAGTGTAGTACACACAAGAAGTGCGTTGTGTATTGCCCAGTTCGAAGTAAATCCTGAAGATCCACCTGACAAACTCATAACTCGAGATGACATTTATGCAAAGTCCAAACTTGATATTCAATTTCATACTGATAAGTATTGCTTAGAGTTAACTGATTTAAAGTGCTACAGATTTAGAACCAAGTAAGTCTTTTAAAAGCTAAGTGGTCTATTAGGTTGTTTAACTAATTCTGTATCCCCAAAGCAATTTTTTTAATTCTCAAAGCAAATTTTCGGAGCTAGTAGGCACAGAATTATTTGTACAACCTAATAGATGCATTCTCTTTACCTTTTATTAAATGAACTACAACACTGTAATTCAATAATTGATTTTATATGCAAATTTTTTAAAAATTGTATGTTGTGCATAAAACTAATATACATACATTAAGAGGCCAATTGCTTTGTAAATGTTGTTGTGTGACATCAGCTGTTAAACCGTGCAATGACTACGATGGAAATCCAGAATTAAAAAGTCAATTATTAGCTTGTGCCAATGGATTCAAAGAACCAGAGCTTCAAGATCAGTTTCTACTACCATATGTAAGTTACGTAATACATAAGTTACAGTATATTAGATTTTTAAAAATTGATTTTTTTATTTTAACAGTATATTTTCTGTTACATATTTGATAAACTGTAAGCTAATTACTCTCATTCCAGCTCTTCTCTCCCACTCCAACAGCATATCCAAGTAATTTCGTCGATAACTCCAAAGTATTTTACGACCTTTACACAGCTTTTGACACAGTGATGGAGTATGTTACTATAAGAATCAAAGATCGTGTAGTTTTGACCAGAGGAGTACTGTATTTCATAAATTCAAGTGTCAGTTCTATACAAGTAAACACAAAGTTTGCCTATCTTTGTAATTACAACAGAAACAAAATTAATTTTTGGGCAGAAAACTGCAAATGTGCATTGGATGTGACATACAAGGCTGGCAATAGACGTTTGGATTGTTGTTGTAGACCTAGTAAGTCATGTGCAAGATACTTTTACTTTTTGCGTCTTTTTTATTTTTCTTTTACTTGGTGTACATGAAACAAAATATTATTGTAAAACAAATTATTTTCAGATTTGGTGGATGGTCTTCTCAAGTCTTTAAACGGCATTTATCGCAATTATGTGATAAACGAATTTCAAATTGGACTACACACAGAAGGTTTAGTCTATAGAGAATCAACCGACTTGTTCCAGTACTTGTTAAACGCTCAAACTGGCATTACTCCATTAATGGAACGACATTACTTTCCTTGATTTGATTGGTGAACAGAAAAAACATTATTTCACAGTGGTCTTATCCTTAGTAAATATTATGTACATAGTCAATAAATTTAAAAAAATATTTATTGTAATATCTATGTATGCTATGCTAGTTTTCAAAAAAAAGTGAGAAAATACGATTTCTTGTAACCGATAGTACAATAGAATGCAATTAAAGCTTAACTTTCATCCAGAAAAGAACGTACAACATGTGGCTAGTCAGATCACTAAAATAGTTTGAAATGCCGAAAAAAGTGCTTGAAACACAATGCCAAAGTCGCTAAATTGGCGGAAAACCAAAATATTTCAAACTTTAAACTCAAAACGCAATTTCTGCACAATTGTTATAGATTCTATTGCTGCTACAAAGAATTCATATAAAAATTTTGAGCTGATTCCGAGCGGGACAAGCAGGGTACTTTCCCTGTTAGTAAAACCTAAAAAATAAAAATAATAACAAATCCGAGATCAAGGCCAGTAGTTAGTTTAATTTTTGGAACCCGTGGAACCTTCACATATATCGTAGAAGACGTTCCCTTCTCCTGAAGTGTGCTGAAAGTGGGCGTCGGCAGGCATTTCGTCTTTGACAGCCATCGGTTGGGCGACGTCCATCTTGTTAATCTTGAGGGGTTTCATCTTTACCGTGCCTTCGTACTTAAAGTCCTCGGGCTTGTAGTACGGATCCACCGGAATGTCGAGCATGGCATCGGCGTCGTCTTTAGACCGCATATTGTTGTTGTACATCTCTGGAAATGTCAGTATCAAAGAAGGCATTTCTAATCTTAAAGAAAGGTATTTTTACTACAGTATTTTATATAGAAAATGATTACTATACTTATCTTTATACCTTAAAGTAATTTAACTAAGATTGAGCTAATTATAAAAAAGCTTTTTCTCCTAAGGTCTACTATAACATCACAAAACTCGAAAAAACTTACTATCGCCGGTATTCCTCCGACACAAGCACCATACTAGAACGGCAATGGCGGCGAACGCTGCCAATGCTAACAGAATTCCGCCGATAACTATGCCAATTACTCCTCCCGAATTCATTCCATCAGCGACGACTCTTTCGACCGGTCAGTACTTAACAGTCAGTTTCGAATGAAAATTTCGAACATCTTTTTCAAATTCTACAAGCGATTTGAGACTTTTACTCGATGGAAAAAATATTTCAAATTTTTTAAATTTTAAGTAATAGAACGTTACTTTTTGACTTATTTTTATCGTTTTAAAATTAAAGTTTTAAGTTTAAAAACAAACAAAAAAAAACAAAACTTTATACTTTTCAGTATTGGTACATCACTATAAATTAAATAAAACTTTTAAAACATTTATACGTAGCCCAATGTAAAACTTATATTATACTACACCTACACTCCCACTTAAAAAACCAAAAATCCTTATCAAAATTAATTGTAAAGATCAAACTTTTGACACCTATCGTACTTAAAGTACCCCTTTGGGAGTACTAAAAACTCTTCAGAGTACTATTAATTTGTTACCTAAAGAACACTGTGTCTCGTTTATTACATATAGTTACTGCAACCCAATAGAAAGTGTATATACGTACTGAACAGACAAAAAACTAAAAGTAACACAACTTTTAGGTTCAGAGCTCAAAGTAAAGTAATGAGCTGGGTCTTAGTCTACGAGTGTGTTCTGTGAGTCATTAATTCGTGAGTTGTGATTTATGGCGCAAAATTGTAAAGTACAGGGTGTCTCAAGAAATTTGCAGGATTTGAAAAATTTTTTATTCAGCGATAAAAATCGCTATAGGTACCAAATTTGGTACAGCGATAGTAAAGCAAATATATATTTTTTATAAAAAATTTTGGATTTTAAAAGTGCATTTTAAATTTTTTATGATTTTTTAAAAATAGGCATTTTTCACCAAAAATACACATATTTTTGGTTGAAAATGCTTTTTTTCTCTGAAATTTGCGAGAGGATTATAAAATTTATCTATTTTCCAATGAAAAGACTGATTTTCAATGTCGGCGAAGGCTATAACTCGCTTCAAAATTGTCGTAAAATTATGAAACAAAAATTATTTCATTTGAAGTTATTAAGTCTACAATTGTAGATATAAATTTTAACACAAAAACAATTTTTTATAAAAAATATATATTTGCTCTACTATCGCTGTACCAAATTTGGTACCTATAGCGATTTTTATCGCTGAATAAAAAATTTTTCAAATCCTGCAAATTTCTTGAGACACCCTGTATTACTGTAGTATAGTATTAGGTTGTTCCAAGGACGTCGTTTGGGGGAGGGGGAGTGGTAGTGGTTTGGGGTGACTCTGCCACGTTCCTCGGTTGTTCATATAATTCCGTGCCTCAGCTCAAAGCAAATTATCGGGGTTATGGGGGTGCAGAATTATTTGAACAGTTTGATACAAACTAGCGATCAAAAACTAAACAGAAGTTTTGAAAATTCATTTTTCAGTTATGTAGTGCTTTAACCAGTTAACCAGTAATGTTGTAGTGCGTTTACCTATTTCTCAAATGTTTTATACACATTTATGCATATGATGTTAATTAAAATAAGGCATTAAAGTACTCATATCTCAAGCTTCCTTGAGGACTAAAACTATCTTTTCTCAGAACTCGCTCGCCTTCAAGTTCGACCTTAGTAAGACCTTTGTTAACACTACACTTCAAAAAAGTTTTACTTTGCTGATGACTAATGTTTTACGTATATTATGAAAACTCGAATCGTAGGAGTTAATTATTTAAACTTTAATTTTTAAAAACATCATGCTTATGTCACGTTTATAAATCAATTTATTTTGCAAATACGTACTTTTAGTTGTTAGTTATTACGACCAAAATATTGACTGTAATGTCAGCCATAATAAAATAAATAGGTAATTTAAATATTTATTAACCATTAATGTTCATATTATTCGTTTTTAAATACTAAATTTTTTAAAAAAAATTTTTTATAATATTTCCTTTTCGCTACGACTTACGGTATGTTGTATTTCTGTAAGCTAAAATAAAGGTTTATACATTCAAATTTTTATACTTTAACCAATTAGCCAAGTTTAACAAGTTTGAAGTTTTTGAAAAGCTTGAAACTTCAGACAATTTTGTATTGAAGTTTACTTTTTGAAGTATTTTAGACTTGTTAGTAGGCTAATTATAACATCAAATACAATTTTAAAGCATAACATTTTGCAAATACCATAAATTGTGAGATTAGTACCGCTTGTAAAATATAGTACAATATCCGCTACATTATCATATGATGTTTTTATATTAAATATTTCAACAATTTTTGGCTATAATACATGTTAACTTAACAGAGGATGTTATCGTAACCTACTCAATTCTTGGCCTTTTACTTTACATCTTCTGTGTAGGCTTCTTCTGTGCATTGATTTATATACACCGTAATGTAACATTTTTAGCTCAATAGTTTAAAATGGATGCCAGATTATTGTCGTACTACCTCATTAAAGTGTCATCGTTAATTGCTGTAGTTTTTAATGTTTTGCTGCTTTGTGTTACCTACAAATCAAGAAAGAATACTGTTTTGAAAGAGTTTAATCAAATTATCAACATCAATATATGTTTAGACTTGTACTTGATATTCAACATGACTGTCAATGATATTGTAAGTATTTTTTAACTTTTAATTGTATTTTTCCATCATATTTTACTGAAAGTTGCAAATGTTTTATTTGTTTTTCTCGCACAAAAATCAATTGTGAAGTTTCGCCTACCAATTTATTATTTTTTTTTTTATTTTTGTAATTTTTATGAATTTGAAAGGCTTTTAAACAATATTCCTTTAGGAAATAGCCATATCTGATGGATTATTCTTTGTATTTTCAAATGCCAACGTTTGGCCGGCGTCAGAATCCTTCAAATCGTTGATAACATGGAACTTTCATTGCTGTTGCGGTTTGAGCGGGATATTTGGCGTCGTACCTTTATTTTACAGGTATCAAACGTTTGTCAAGTAAGTTTTGTTACCTGTAGAGCATGTAATTCTTAATTTTGTATTTTGATTTCAAAGATAATTTTTTTATCTTATTTGGTACAATTGAAATTTTACTATTTTTAATTACATTTTAATAATTTTAAACTTTAGAGGAGAAAAGATAAAGTTATACAAGATGATACCTTGGATTTTGATTCCATTTTGGAACACTGGTTTTGCCTTGATCACTGTATATCAATATCAACCTCATCGATTGGAATATATTCAGGTTTTGAACTCAAAAGTATGGCCGGACGCTAACGATTTGTTTTACATTGTTTCTGATGCTGTAAGTTGAACAGTTGATATGTCAGAATTAAAATAATTTTTTTTTAAAGTGGCTCTGTAGCTCTTCAAACTCCGACGATCTAACACTGCATTTTAGGACGGAGTGATAGGGAACTTATATGGATTGTCGTGTATGATCACATTTACCTTTGCTTTTGCGTTTTCTGGATATATGATAACACAAATTCAAAGGAAAATGAGAGAAAATGCGGAGAAACTATCAGAGAAGACAAGGAAAATGCAAGCTAGCTTCAATAGGATTGTCGTTGGACAGGTGAGTCTAATATCAAAGTTGTTTGTACACTTTTATTGAATAATTTAGTTAAATGACTCTAATATCATATTATTTTACCTTTGGCTTTTGTTATGCGCTTGAAAAATTGAAATTATAAAAACTTCAAATCGTGTAAACTATATTTTAAAAATTAAAAAGAAACTAAAAAAACCTTTCTAGTTATTTATGGCGATATTACTTGGCATAACGCCAGTTCTCGGCGTGGTAACTGAGCTCCAACTAAAGTTACATGACTCTAATGTCCACTTTGTTATGCATGTGTTTATGTCATTTCTACCGGTCGCAAATTCTCTTACGACTTTATGTTTCTTCAGACATTACAGGAGAACTCTTGTTAAGATGGTTACTTGCGGCAAGGTTGATGCATTTAACAGTACTAAAGTTGAAATGACAGTCGAACAGACTAGTATTCACAAGACCATTAGTTCTGAGTAATTGTAACTGTGTTACTATGTATGTTACTTACTTTTAGGCTGAAAGATTTAGTTTAAAATATTGTTGTATATAAGGCGCTAGGACAAATGCGGTTTTTGGACATTTGCGGATCTGCGATTTTTAGACACTTGCGGATCTTCGGTTTTTGGACACTTGCGGATTTTGGACATTTGCGGATTTTTTAAGTTTTTTTTATTTTTTAGTTAATTTAGTTGTAGTATGATACTAAATTGTACTAAAGTTTAAATTGGTGCGGTTTTAACATAACAGTACCTTTTTAGGCTTTTAGTACCATTCAGTACCAAAAAATATAAAACAGTACCAATTTAAAATTTAGTACTATTTAACACTAAAACATATTAAAACAGTACCAATTTAAATTTTAGTACCATTTAGTACCATAATACAACTAAATTAACTAAAAAATAAAAAAAACCCCCCTTAAAAAATCCGCAAATGTCCAAAATCCGCAAGTGTCTAAAAACCGCAGATCCGCAAATGTCCAAAAACCGCATTTGTCCTAGCGCCGTATATAAAGCTATGTGAAAGGTCACTACAATAGCCTCGGTAATTAATGCTGAGATATAAACCTCAAAACATGTAGCTTTAATAAAGCAAGCTCATGTAAAATAAAGTTGATAAGTAAAAGACCACTTTGTTGTTGAAATATCTTATGAAAAGGTCTAGAAAATTGACGTTAAGATTGTTAATTGCAATTCTGAGATGATAAAAAGTCAGTCGCGGATTGAAAGGTTAAGGTCATTTACGTTCCACTTCCGAAGACTTTTGGATTACCTAGATTCAGGTTTGGGCAGGGGTCAAGCTCTGTAAAAAGGTCAATTTTTACATCAAATGGAGTATGAGTAATAGATACACAATTATATATTCTTGTAGGAAGTAAAGGTAAAAATTTTTTGTTTTAATAATGAAAAAACTGTCAATTCTTTACTGTTAACAAAAAAAAAGTACTTAAAGTAGTCATGGCTTTAAATTAGGGTTACTTTTTTGTGAATCATGACGCCTTCTTACTGCCCTGAGCGGAAGCTAGCTTTACCTTCATCTTGAACTCTAAAATCAAAATTTTATGTATTAAGTACAAAAATAATACTTTGAAACTTAAATATCTCAACACACTTACAAATATTTTACAAAGTAATCGCAAAACAGTAACTGTTTGAAAACTTGAAAGGCGGGCGTTGAATAAACAAATCTGGGTCATCGAACAAAAAAACCTGGAGAATCTTCGATCGTCTTCATTATGTGCCGCTTTAGCGCTTCGAAAAAGAGCTTTCAAGAGTAGTTAAAATAACTGTTGAACAATGTAAATAGTAATGTTTTACTGAGTATTTTTGTGCTTACTTTTTGAAATCTTATAGTAAGTGGATGTTGTGAGCGTTTTAATGCATTTTAAATTGTTTTTGTATAAATTTGAAAAAGGTTTTTTTATGAAGAGTTAGTAGTGCTGGTAGTGTTATATTTTTACAATAATGTTATGTGACTACTGTATAGAATCAAAAAACAACTCTTAAAAATCATATTATAGTGACCACAACCCACTATATTATGATGACTGTATAAATATAGCTCTTGCTTCTGTCATCGCGCAAATCAGAATTTAAAATACCATGAAGCTAATGTTTTTACGAGAGCTGTTACGCCTAAAAAAGCACAGTTGTTTTTGAATTTCAGAATAAACCAAAATGTTGCGTCTATTAGTAGCCTTGGCGGTAGGCTTATACGCTTCTTCTGAAGCCAAGATGGTGAATGTATGTAGCGATCTTAAGACGTGTGAAGAATGCACACAATCATACGTACACATCTTCTCGTTTAGGGAAAATTGCCGGTGAGTAGCTCAACTTTAGGTTATGTTATTGTAAGATCTTCCTTTTTACCTGAAATATATTCAATCAATAATGTCAAAAGCTAGATATTAAATGACACTTTTAGATGGTGTTATCAAACCTCATCGTGTGGTACTCCAATTGCTTGTCCATCAGGTTCAGCGACTGCTCAACGTGATGTCTTTAAATGTCCAACAAAGGCTGACAAAGCGAAAGGAAGAAGATATACTGACAAGCTTGGCAGAAGTCTGTTCTCTCTCAATTTGGCCGTAAAAGACAAAGCTAACGTCACCGACTGTTTGAAGACGGTTAGACCCGATGTTAAGTAAGTAGACAGAATATTTTTTCAAATTTAAATTACAAAAGAAACGACATACGTTTGTGTAATACTACTTATGGTTAGACTTGGCTTTTGGGGTGGTTTAAAGGACAAAAGCTGATGAATAGATCTTAAAAATTTTTGAGAGTCAGGCTTACCTACAGCGAATATTAGCTAAAATTCTCTAAAAAATATGTTGTACTTTTTAATTAAAATACGATTTAGAGTTCACAAGTACTATGAAGTAGAATGTGACCAAGTACATTCAACTTGTGGTGGTATGTTGGCTGTGTCAGAAGAAGCCAAAGCTTTGTACGTTGTCTACAGAAGCGGCGCCATTGATAAGCAATTGTTCCAAGTGAGATTTTATAGGTTTATTAATTGAAAATTTTATCACAAACTGTCGTATTTTAAAGTAAACAAAAAAATTTGCAAAATCTGAATTTTCAGGAAGTTGTTCACGGTGTAGCAGCTCAACTCGGAGCCTGGGAGAAGTTTGTGAACGGATCCGGAGTGATGACCTACTTCCACGGAGCCTTCAAGAAGTTGTTCTTGGAGACCGGTGTGAAGGATGATTTGATCAAGCTGAAGGAACAACACAAAGACTACAGAGTTTGGGTCACTGGACATTCGTTGGGAGGATCATTGGCTTCAATGACAGCTTTGTACTTGGTCAACCAGACCATCTTCCCTACAGAAAAAGTGAAATTGGTCACTTTTGGAGAACCACGTACTGGAAACTATCTGTTCGCCAAAGCCATCGAGAGAAACTTGAACTTTAGATACCGTGTGGTGCACAGGAATGATGCTGTTAGTTTTTGTATGATAGAGTGGATCTCACCTGATGAAAAGATGACGTTTTTGGTCATTTTCGTAATCAACCTTGTTTTAAAAATTATTTTTAATAAATTTGTTTTAGGTAACAAACATCCCAGCCTCAATGGACCCAGACAATCTTCTACTGTCTGTAGCCGCGGCCGAACGTCAGCCCTACTTCTACCGCTTCGCCGTCCATTATGACAACGAAATGGACAGAGAAGACAAGTTCGATATGTGTGAGTTGCCAGAAGACCATCACTGTCGTAACTTGGCTATGGCTGCTGACATTAACGATCACATGACATACTTTAATGTAAAAGCTGACGACTTCATCAAGGCTGGTTGTCCACGAAGCATGATATTGTAGATATATTTTGATTTAACTTCATCGATCTATTTATTCTTTAAATTCTTAATATTGTTATTGATAACGCTTACCATGTTATTAATGATTAATGAAAGATACCAAAGTATGTCAATGTAATAAATTATATTATTTATGAAATTTGCTTTTATAAGTGGTTTTTAAAGATGTATTGGCTAAATTTCATTTATATTATACTTGCAAAAACTCTAAAAATTTATTTTTCATATCAAAACTGCAAGAATTCAAAGAACCACAGCTATTGCACATCATCTACAATATGTTTACCCAGATGCCCACGAGTGTTGCCGTTCCTAAAGCAATACTGTTGGACTACAAACGAAAGTTAAAATATATTCTACAAACGTCTGACAATGTAGAACAACTTTGTTTGAGCAGATGACAGTTTTTACAATTATCAACCAGTATAAAACGTGCATTTCGACAGCATTTTACATAACATTTGGCTGGTTGAAAAGGGAAAATGGTCTCCAGAAGTTTGGTTATCGTTGCTTTGGCTGTGTTTGTTGTGCCAGCTCAATCTCAAAGCTTGTTGAGCTTGTTGCCACCTCAACTACAAGGTATTAATTATATTATTATAGTTTAAAACGCCATTCTGTAAGAAGCATACAATAATACTTCAATAATTTCAGCACTCCTCCCACCATCAGCCCTTCCTCCCCTCGCTTCCTTGACTCCACGTGATGTTCAAGTAGTCCAAGCCATTATCAATCAATTCCCTCAGTTCTCTTCATTGCCACAGCTCCTGAACACCTTGGCCGCTAACTCTCCAGCCTTGTCAGCTTTGTTGAACCAAGCTATCGCCAAGGCCAAGTCCGAATTGGCATTGACTGAAGCCATGCTCTTGCCACCAACCAAACAGTTCTTGAGCAACGTAAGAGTGTTTCTATATATTTTGTAGGCTAAACCGCACTTTTTAAAAATTTTTAAACTTTTAAAAATTTTTTTGTTTTTAGACTTTTCTATGATCTTATAGCTATGAAACAAAAGTTTATATAGTTTGCCAAAAAATTAGGATCTTTGAAACTGTTAACTGCTAACGTTTTTCAGCTCGGACTGATCGCTCAAAATGCTGCTCTTCAAGCCAAGAGTCTTTTCCAAATCCAAACTCCACCAACCATCGCCAACCTTGAAGCCACCTTCCCATCTCTTTCCAGCCTAGTCCAAACCCCATTGGCCCAACAAGCCCTCCCGTTGGTACTCCCTTGAAGTATGTAAACTGTAATCACATTTACTACGGGAATTTTTTCAATAAAGATAATGCATTTAAATTTTTTACTTTTTTATAGAAAATTAAAAATTTAAAAATTTTTTTTAATTTTTGTAAATGGATAAATATGGCTTTACATAACTATTTTTCGTTGATACACAATTGTTAATAACAATATGTGACCTACCTACCTTTTAAATGATCAAAACTACATTGTATTACCACTCTTTTAAGTTTTTAACAATTTAAAATGATTAACTGATTCAAGAGACAAAAATGCCTCCTCCAGACCTTACAGAGCAAATGTTAAACGCCTCATCGCTCTGACAAAAGCAAATAGAGAAAGCTTATCATAAAAATTATTAAATGTTTCTTGAATGTATGCAAACTAACGATATTGAAACTACAAATTGTGTTTTATCAAAGTTTTATTATTTTTTTGAAATCCTGTCACTTTTATGGCGGTTAGTCTAAATTATTATAAAAAATTATGCAACTAAAATTTTCGGCTTTCAAAACTCAGAGTTTTGTCATTTTTTGCATATTATCGTTTGTGTTTTGTTTCTATCAAGTACAAACCAACTACTACAATATAGCTGATGTTACAACTAAAGGTAAGTAATATTTTAGTTGAATCTAATTGAGTTATAGAAATGTTTTGGCTATAAAGCGAGATTATAATGCATTAGTTTGCTTCAAATTTTGATCATTAGTAAAAAGCGGTAAAGTCATCAAGTCAAACCCCCATTTATCGTATAAGTTGTCTCCGCAAACTGCAATAATTTGGGCGCAGACGGTTTTAGAAATTATTCGCGATTTTTAGTTTCTAACTTTTACTGATTTTAGGAGCTGGAGCTGCTTTACAATTACTGCAAAAGCATAACGGAAGCTGCAATCTACCAATATTTGATCTCTACCACCCTTCAATCGCCAAGTTTATCGACCGGTCTTATAAATCTTGGGACAGATGTGTGCCGTCATTCACAGTTCGAAGCTGGCTAACCAATCAAACTTTGTTCATAACTCCTCAACACTCTTTCTTTACTAGAGAGACATGTAGGTATAGGTAAGTTGACTTTTATATAATGTAGCACTATTTGTTTTACACTTATTTTTGTTTTTATTGCACGTTATCAAGTGCTTGTTATGCTTAATAATATTGTTTTACTATATTAATTATGCTATTTTACTACAGGTGCGTTTTGCATGTAAATGACACAAGTTATAAGACCTCTGAATGGACAGAATACCAATTTGAATCCGAGAACAAAGCTTTATGTGATGTGGTTGAAGTACAGTGTTCCAAAGCCCTACTACAAACGTACCAGTACATTCATCTTCAAATTGTTGAAACGTAAGTACTAACAGCAGTTGTTCGACATTGTGCTTTATATTATTTTAGTTTATATTTTAATATTAATGAAACAAGTCCCTACAATAATCTCTTTAACTTCTCTATACCCTCATTTCTTCGTTAATACTTATCTAATTTCAGTCCAGCCCCAAAGCCATCTAGAAACAAATCTAACGTGTATATAATCATACTAGACTCGACAAGCACCAGCAGTGTCAAGCGATCACTTCCAAAGACGAAAAGGTATCTAGAAGTACACCATCAAGCTGTGACTTTTGATTATCTGAACAAAGTTGGACTGAATTCAAAGCCGAATGCATATGGCTTTCTTTTAAATGAAGCTCCAGAAGATGTAACAGGTCCAGATGGCGCGACAATCGTAAAACGACAGAATGACGATTACTGTAACGTTTCTTTGAACAATTTCAGTTTTGTTGGCTACCATTTTCAACACGAGGGCTACAAGACATTTATGTTTGACGAGGGAGGTCTAGGAGTGCTTAGTGCTCCGAATTGTGTTGGCTTTAACAAGTCTGTCGCTGATCACTATTTACGGTAAGAATGTTGGGTTGGTGATGAAAACCTGAGACACCACCAGCTTTTTATAAGTTTTACTGTAGTCATAATAATTTTAATATGTTGCAATAGTTAACTGTGACTAAAAATCTTGTTATTGATCTATATTGTCATTGTTTCAGTCAATTTGGACGACGAATAGAAGACGACAACTTTAATGATCTGGAAAGTTTCTACTACAACATGTATACAGCTCAATGCCGAGACCCGTTTAACGTACTCTTTGATACAATACATCAATTTGGAAAAAGTTATGAAGACATCAATAAGTTTGGATTACTATGGGTAACATACCAAGCTCACGACAGTTTCAATGGATTGTATAGGGCTGATGATAAAATGTTAGAACTTTTTGAAAATATGACTGATATGGTATGGTTTTACATTGAACTTGCATTTTTTGGTTGAAAAGTCTATTTTAAAGGGCTTGTGTTAGTACATTTATCTCAAAAGTAAACTTTTTAAACCATAGGCATAAAATTAATATATCCAAGACCCACAAACACATTCCAGCTAGATGACTCCTTCTTCATATTCATGGGAGACCATGGCCCCAGATTAGGCCCCTCACGAAACACCTATGTTGGAGATCTAGAGGAACTGAATCCTTTTCTGATGATTACAGTACCCAAGCATCTACGGCAAAACAAGAATCTACAAGAACTTTTGAAGCATAACTCCCAGGAAATGGTATCTCACTACGACGTCTACGCCACACTGAGTCACATAGCCAGACACAGCGACAAGTGGACCAACAGTACCAAATTCTCAGAAGAAGCCTTCAAACCGACTGACATTAAACTAAAAGGAAGCTCTCTACTCCATAAACTACCGTATCCCAGAAACTGTAAAACTCTTCTGATACCGTCACGATTCTGTTTGTGTCAGAAGTCAGAGAGAACCATACAGGATAGTACTCTCAGTGAGAATGTTGGTACCAAAGCTGTTGATCTCATGAACATGGCTATTCAGAACGGAACGTTGGGTGGGAAATGTGCTGTTTTAACGGTGGATAAAGAGAATTCAAAGAATATTATTGAGACTTCTCATGGATACGATACTTACTACACTTTGAAGTTACGTGTCAAACCAAGTAATGGCTTGTATAATATTGAGTTTAGGGTAAGTTGAGGTTATATTGACATTGATTTTTGTTTTGAAGATTGTTTGACATATAGTTTTTAAAGGGACTTTATGATAAAACAGTACCAATTGTACCAAAAAGCAGAAAGTATTGCAAGTAAACGACTAATTTGAACTGAATATAGATATTTTAGATAACAAACTCAACGGCCAAGCTAACGTCGACGACATTCAGCCGAGTAGACGCCTATTACGAACAGTCAAAATGCATCGACAGAAGCTTTCTTCAGAATTACTGCTACTGCAAACGATAGAGCTGGTTAGAAAACTTAATAATTTTTACTAAATTTGAAAAATGTTTGTAAATAAAGTTATTGCGTGGATTATAAAGCTCTCAAAATATAATACCAAATATAATAGTTTATTGAAACTTTAAAAATTAATAAACAAGGCCAAAGTAATCCATGGAATTGTGTTACTACAACTGCCTTCGTACGACTCCAGAATCCTGTGGTGATCCTGTTTGTATGTCGTGGACTTGTGATAATTGAGCCAACACCAGTACATGTATCCGAACAAAATGAACCGACCTGTTTTCAGCCTGATGCCATTACCGCTTTGGTACGTCAAGACACAAATGGGACCCGTGTTCTGTAAAATTACAAAGTTAAACGTCAGAGTATACGACAAAAGGACCCGGCCAGTAAAATGAAATTGTTCCTAAAAGCTACTTACTTCATGACAAGGGTCACTGCTATCGGCTTCCAAGCAATCGGCAGGGTATTCTGTAACATCTTTCACCGCAGAATCCAAGACTTGAGTATGGCATACCAAAAATACTGTTACAACGCATAATCTACTACTCGAAAAAACAATGGCAGCCGCCGTTCGTACAAGAAGTTACAAAAATAAACAAGTTTGAAAGGAAAAGGTGAGGAAAAGTTGTTGTTCTCAGGTAAGTTCGCACGAAATAAGTTTCAAAATTACTCAAATTTGCATAACTTTTTACGTAAAATTAAAAAATACTTTTATCTTTTGTTTTTTTATAAATTTGCATAATATTTGCTTTTAAAAACCAAAAAAAAACAATATTATGTTCACTCTCTTCATCATATTACACATGCCGCTGGCGACTATACTTTTGATCCTTTCTCGGCCGCTCTCTGACCATCTTGACGTCCAAGTTTTGTTTATTTTTGCAGCCCAAAAACATCTCGCCCAATGTTTCTGTAATTAAATTATGCAGAGACGACACAAAACGTACAACCGCTCTCCAAATCTGGAGTCGTTTATTTCCGGAAGGCATTCGTGTCCCCATTGCTTATATTATCCCTCTCCAGTCGTTGGATTCGCCTCCACAAAGCGCGCATTGTTCATGCTGAAGTAAGGAGTTGAAGAACCCGGTTCGGAGAGCGCTGGTCCCCCGGAAATGGCGGATGCCGAACACAATTGGCGATTTGATTGGCCTGAGGGCCCGAGCGGCGCGCCCGTCTTAATTCGAGTAAGTGAGCCTTTAAATTGAAAATTGGAGTAGGGCGCAGAGGGTTTTCAAAACAAATCCCCCCTAAAGTTGTTTTCTTTTCCTGGGATTTTGTTGTTGATCCTTTCATGGGTTTTCTGATGTTGTAGTGGAAGATAAGAAGTTTTGTATTTTTATGAATTATTATGCTTCATCTGATCAAAAAATTAGTGATTTATATTCTTTTATCTCTTGTGAATATAAAAAATAATATTTTTTGTTGAAAATCTTACATTTCAAGATAATTTTTCCAATTTTAAACTTATCTTACTGAGTTTTCCCTAATAAAAAGTAAGATTGTAAACTGATAGTAAAAATGAAGTAGATTTGAACCCTATAACTAGTAAAAATGATGATTTAGAACAAAAGGTTCCTATCTACAGATTAAGTTGTTTAAATAATTCAGTGCCCCTCTCAAAGCAAACTTTTGCGGTTAGGAGCACAGAATTATTTGAACGATCTAATATTTTTCACAATATTAGTATAATGTCTAGCTAGAGTTCTAGGTTAGATTTTTACTTTTGCCTTTCCTTTGTTAATAAAGTAATATAACATAAGTCCAGGTAAGCACACCACAAAGGAAAGGTGAAAGACTTTCAGTTTTTAATTGAACAAAAAATTTCATTCAAAATTTATTTGTCCTCTTAGCTCAAAACGCACTTTTTTCAATTGATACAATTTCCAAAACGTGCTGGATTATGTGCTAGACCATGCCAGAGTAAAGCTATATACAACTGATCTTAAAAAGACTATAAAACTGTGTAAAAACAGAGTTCTGTAGAAAGGAAACGAAACATAATACGATTTACATCCACGTTTTAAACTTGATTTAAATTGGGTTCTTAGGACCTATATAAAAAACATGCATAGAGATTGTCGTTCGCAGTTTTACATTCCAAAATATATATATTTGAGATTTGTCTACACCTAAGCTGACATAATATTCTTGGATATTTGAATTTTGTTTTTGGATATTGTGATACTAAGTGGATAGTAAAGAAATTCTTACCACTATATTATATTACTATATTATACATCGTCTGTACAATCGTCTAAAGTATTCACAATGGTTTACTTCTTCTTCCAGACGGGTTTACAAGAAGATACGGCGTTGGACGAGATGACCTGGTCAGCACCATCACCTAAACATGCTAATGTGCTGGTATTACTTAACGCGCTGTATACTTCCGGCTTTGCGACGACATCGCCAACAGTTCCACGACTTACTGGTAACTTTAATTTGAGAATTACTGTTTTATAATGTTTTATATTGACATTCCGCTTTTTTGTAAAACGTCACCAGATTTTTTTGGCAATTACATATGTTGAACCTTAAAAGTTACTGGCTGGCCTTTTACTCTTTAATATCATACTTTAATGACATCTTTAGGTAAAACTATGCACACACTGTATGCCATTAGCTTTATAGTATACAGTACGACAGCGTTCATCGACTGGATTCATACATATGCTGTTCTAAAAGGCGCAGAAACTTCATTTCCACTAAAGGATTGGTTTGTTGTATATATGGTTGGCATTAGTGTTGCTGGATCAACGCTAAATGCTCTTTTAATTGTATGTTTTCAAGATAATATCTAGCAATGATTATCTTTCAGTTTTCTTTAGTGATCGGCGGAACGTTTGCTTAAAATTGTCATTAATGAGAATAGCTGTGTAATCTAAAATAAGTAACCTTAAAGTAACCTGTTTTATTGTCACATAAAGCAACTCATGGTTAAAACTTTTAGGTTCTTTGCGTAGAAAATGCGTTTGCATATCGTGTTCACGTTACACCATATCGTACTGGCCTTGCTGTGATATGGGAGACATTCGTTGAGTGGATTCATTCCTTCAACAACTTCAGAGTCGCCTTCTTATTTGCTGTTTGTCACGACTTACCGCTTACCATTGCCAACTTCTTCTTCATATCATCTTGTCGACTTTCTGGTGTTCATGTAAGTTGATATTAATTGGCTTTAGAGCATGATACAGCTTATTCTAGTCCATTTTTTGTGTTCTTTAGTGTTCATATATTCATATAAAAGTACTTGCTTCCAGGTTCAATCATGGCACCTTACCTTATCAACCTTTTCGTTATTGGTATCTTTAACATGGAGAATAATCATGTTATACTTTGCGTATCGTCGTATGATATGTCCAAAAAAGTCGGGCAATTCCTCTAATATGCCAAGCCGACAACCATCCTTCCGAGAGCACATTGAACAACAGATTTCGTTCAAGTAATTATCTTCCACATTGCAGTGACTGATATTGAACTATAATTCACCTTTTTAGTTTAAACACACGTTCTTTCTGTAGTATAAGCATGTTCCAAATTATGTTATTTTAATAATTTTTTAAATTATGTTACACTCCTTTTAGTTGATAACCTTTAATTCACCCATTTGTTGTTAACTTATGTTACAGTAGTTGCTTTAATTTCCCTTGGTTCAATTTGTTACAGTAATCTTTAGTTACGGGTCAATTTCCAGTTTCGACTTGAATGACAACGGTCGATTAAGTGATTTCGACGAGACTTGGCCAGTCCGCTGGTCGATTTCGAAAGTTTATGGAGAATATCCGATACCAAAACAAGCTGTTTTATATTATAATGAGCCCATGTACGGCAATAAGTGCCTGAAAGCGGTAGAGACGGCGTTTTGCTACGCTATTTTACATGTAAGTTCATATTATATTATAATAGTAAAAAATTTTAAAAAAATTTTAATATTGGTACAATTTAACATTATCCTTACTATAAATAACATTAACAATATAATGGTAAAATAACAATAAGAAAAACAATCTAAGCCTTTATTTTTAGATATCAGACGCTCTGAAGTCAACATTCAAGCGGATGCTTTGCATCGCTCTGACTATATCAACATACTTGTGCTGTTGTGCCATTGGATGTTTACCATGTTTGAATTACTACTTTTGTAGGAAAACAAGTCTTTCAAAACGACATAAATGCTCAAAAACTTTTGTTAGGTATGAATTTTACCATAAAACCTTACCTAACAATAAAATTGTTACCTAAAAATCTTACAAAACTTAATACTTTAGCTAACAAAGTTACATTTTAACTTTAATGATACTATTAGGTTGTTCAAATAATTCGGTGTCCCATAAACACGCAAATTTGTTTTGAGAAGAAGCACACAATTATTTGAACAACATAATATAACTCAAAGATATAAAAGTAATTAAATACCTAAATATATTTCAGATTCTTCACGGTATTCTTTCACTATTTCATGATGTTGTTCTCGACCATATCAACTATCACTTTAATTATGCTCAACTTGATCTTACTGACCTCAATTCATAGTTTAGGTACTAACACTTTGCCTCCGGAAATCTTTCAAGTAAGCTTTACTTTTACAGTCAAGAATCAAGTTTGTTTTACTATTCTTTAAGCCTAATTTAATACAAAAATAACCGGACCGCTATCGTATTTTACAAAAATATATAAATATTCAAGTACACACTTGCGAGTACAGTATACAAAGTAAATCTTTAGGTATGCCACGCAGTAGATTTTGAACACAGAACAATAACACCACATGTTCTACCAGCGTTAACAAGGTTAGAAAACAACAAAAATGAGCACTTACGATGGGTCTGTAAGCCTATTTGGGCGAATCCATTCACTCGAGATAAGATGCACGATGGACCATGGCAAGTTCGGCTTCAAATCGATGAAGATATGTCGCTGGTAGGTTGTATTATGTTTTACGGGGTGATTTGGGCTTATTGGCTATCTAAAATAGTTATAATTAATAGTTGTAATCCTAGAGTTGCTCAACAAAATAAAATTGTTACCTAAAATACATTATATCATTCAAATTTGCAAAGGACGACATTTTTTACTTATAATAACTTAAATACAATTAAAAAAAATACGACACGCAAAGAATAATATAATTTAACTTTAACATTCAAACGTAGACAATTATAACTATTCATAACCTTTACAGGCCATTTCCACCCACTTTTATTCAAATTTCACGACAAAAAACGTGGAACATGTTATAAAATACGATCACACAGTGTTACACATGGATCGACGAGAATGTTGGCGAGATGCCAAAAGTAATTGGAAGTTCAACAGTTACCTAAACAGTCTCAGCTGGCCCTACTTCTCAGCTTGTATACCAACTTTGCGGCTTTCGAAGGAGTTTCTGATACATTGTCCATGGCCTTTCAACCCACACATAAAGTAAAAACGTCTTTCATTTTCAAATTGATGTACGATTAGGGTTGAATAAATTTTTATCAAAATTTTAAAGGAATTACATTGAAAAAAACAAAATTTTGTCGAAAATTTATTTTTGAAATTTCGTTTTGACAATCAATTTTTTAATTTCGTTCACATTCAAAAATTTGTTCATAAACAAATTTACAAATAAAGATCGTTGCATTTTACGAATAACTTTAAGTTAAATTTATTTTGAATAGTATAGTTTTTTTTTAAATTTTACGTTACCATTAACCTATTTTAACGTTATTTTCAAAAATATTTTACTTTTTGCAAAAAAACATATTTTTAAAATTTCTGAATCACTTTCTTCGTATTTTACAAATTACATTAGTCCAAGTTTCTTTTTAGTCCTATATTATGTCGTAAAATCGTTTTGTTACCTATTCTTTCGCACAAAAATAAGAGAACACGAGAAAAGAAGCGAGAAGATGTGCTTGTTTGCGTAGTTCAGTGGAAACGAATCGGACCTTTTACGCCGTAAGGGTCGAGTTCGAGTCCGGGTCGAGGAGGAAAAAAATGGAATTACCAGTTGAAGGCTTCTCGGAGCTTCCTGAAAATCACCAAGGCTGTATCCTGAGACCTTTTTTGGATGTTTTACTTTTTATTATGGTAAAAACACATTTTTTATCTTTTTACAGTTGTAATTATGTTTGGCGTGGTGCACCGTGGTGTAATTTGCATTCTTTGGCCATATATAACAGGGTAAAAAGTGCGATTTTTGATCAAATTTTAAAGTTTTTTGTCATTTTCCTGTATCAAAGCGATGGGGAAATTCTGTACCAACTTCTTGTTTGTATGACATTCCTTTTTGTACATATATAACATTTTGGCGTAACACTTTCCTCGTTTATTCGAATAATTAAACGTTCGCAGCCAATAAACGAAAGATGAAAAATCAATAAATACACATTTACAAACATCTTTGGATCCTTCGTATGACTTTACAATCTTTTTTAGAGCAGTACCTAAAATAAATAAGTTACGATTCTACATTACGACTAAAAATGATGGTAGAGTTAAGTGAGATGAGATGCAGAATGAGTTGGGTTACAGTTGTAGTTACAGTAACAGCAAACGTTACTGTAATCATTAAAGTTACAGTAAAAGTTACAGTAGTAGTTAAAAATCACAGTAACTATCATAATACACAAAAAGTTACAACAATAATGTACTGTAATAGTAAAGGTTACTATAATATTCTTACTGTATCATAAAAGTTACAATAGTAATATACAAACAAATGACCGTATAAAATACACCATAAACAACTCAAACTGTGTGTACGGCAACACAGAGTACTGTAATTGAATTGAAGGTTACTGTAATAAATAATTTAAATAAAGTAAAGATAGTAGATCAATCACAATACTCGGCATTACCATACATTCAAGAGTACTGTAATCGACAGAGTAAGATCAGTGATAGCTGGAGATCAAATATAGTTTTGGCTGGTTTTGTGGTTGTTGGCAATCTGGCTTTAGGCATCGTTTTCCTTTTCGAAGCGACGTCGGAGCTCGGCTTCGAGCAGCTTCTTTAGTTCGTTCAGCTTTTTCATGTCGACAGCTAAAACTATATGAAGTTATGTATGTGGTTTTGCAAATTCAAGGTTTTTTCTTTTATTTTAAGGGGTTTCTGGTCATCCTGGCCTACTATAATATAACATATTGAATTTTGAAAAAGTTCATTTTAATTTAACAATTTGTTGAAATATGCCATTTTAAGCTTATTTCAATCAATTCAAAGTTCATTTCTACCAATGTAAGTCCATTTTACCGTTTTAAAACCAAAATCCCTTGCGGCAATAATATCTCAATAACTCGTACTTTAAAGTTTTACTATAAAACGGCCTTAAAGTATAACAAGATTACTTACGCAGCTATGATGCCGCAATTTTATTTTGAACCTTTAGGTTTCTTTAGAAAATAAGTAATGATGACGTATTTTGTGAAACTTCAAAAATGTTTTTTGACTCATTGCCAAGACTTTAGCTTAAGAGTGCGAAAAGGCAGTAAAAAGTAACGGAATTGGTCTATTTTTGTTTCTTAATTAATGACATTCGGCCTATTTTCGACTATTTTTGGTTAGTTTTTAAAAGATTAAAAGGTTTTCGTGGTGAGACCCATAATGTTTTAATTTTTTAATATTTTAAAAAGTAAATGATAGTACTATAAAGTACATTATGTAAAAAAAAGTCAAAAATTTTCAAAATAAAAATATCAAAAAGACCCAACTCACCTCGAGCATAATACCGTGCGATGGGCGACCGTTTCTTTAGGCCAAAGTCAGCGCCTTCTAGCGAGTCCAACGCCCTCTTTTTTAGTCCAAAGTCCGAGCCTTCTAGCATGTCTAGTGCTCGCTTCTTCAGTCCAAAGTCTTGACCTTCTAACGAGTCCAATGCTCGCTTTTTGAGGCCAAAATCAGAGCCTTCTAGCATGTCTAGGGCTCTTTTGTCGAAGCCGAAGCCGGTTCCTTCCAACGCGTCTAGGGCTCGTTTCTGAAGTTAAAAGGTGAACATTATATTGAAATAGGTATGAGAAATAGACAGTTATGGTTGTTATCTATAAAAACACATAAAATAAACTACCATAATACTAAATTCCTTTAAATTCCACTTACTTTTAGACCGAAATCCGCGCCCTCCAACGAGTCTAAAGCCCGCTTTTTTAGTCCAAAGTCCTGGCCTTCTAGCGAGTCCAATGCCCTCTTTTTGAGCCCAAAATCTGATCCCTCGAGCATGTCTAGTGCTCGTTTCTTGAGCCCGAAATCAGCACCTTCCAGCGAGTCCAGCGCCCGCTTCTTTAGACCAAAGTCTTCCCTTTCTAGCGAGTCTAAAGCCCGTTTTTTTAGTCCAAAGTCTGCTCCTTCCAACGCGTCTAATGCACGTTTTGAAAATATCGCTGAAAAATTAAATTTAAATGTAAAATACGAGTATCTGAAAAAAAATTTGAAAATTTTTTAGAAAAAAATTTGAAAAAAATTTGATTTTAAAAATTTAACTTTCGATCTTAAATTTTTTAATTTTGAAAAAACTTACCATTTCGTGTTGGAGCAATGGGTAAACGCACTACAACAGCACTACTGACCAAGGCACTACATAACTGAAAATAAATTTTTAAAAATTTTTGACAGCATTCTATTTACTTTTCGACCCCTATTTTATACCAGGTCGTTCAAAAATTCTGTGCCCCTAACTTCAAAAATTTTCTTTGTGAGGGGTACAGAATTATTTTGACAACCTAATAAAACACCTTTAGCATACCTATCGCCGTAAAATGTGGCTAGTATAAAGACCGCGTACTATATAGTACTCAAAAATCAGATACTATATAGTATCTCTTGCTCCACCCTCCAAACTCACCAAAACAAACGACACAATCGCGACGCATATCCTGGTGTAAGCGATCATTGTGTGATAAGTGTGAGGCACGATTGGCACGCTGACCAAAACGTTCCCTGTGACCCAAAGAGAACGGCGCTTCTCTGAACGAATGAGTCGATTAGTGGAGGCGCATTAGTACTCAATTAAGTACGATTATGGCGCGTCACGTCGTATTAGGGAGTCAGACACAAATATAGTACCATCGCAATTAGATACGTATCATAAGCGCATACTACGTAACGTTATAGGTATACTGTAGGTGTGTTAGCATAAAAAAGGGGGTTTTAAGAATATTATAGTATGGTCTGTATATATCAGTATATAAAGTGGTTTGTATAAAGATGAAGATCGAGTATAAAGAGCTCGTTCTATATAGTACTATCCAAAACAAAATTATAGTCCTATTATCGAAGAGCATTCCAGTACTACAAGTATACCTGGACTATAGTATGTAAAAGCTAATAGTACATAAGCTACTGGTAAGATAGTAAAAAGACAGTACGTACAAGAAGATCACATGACCATGGTATTATCTTCTAATACCATAGAGAATTCAGGTGCAATATAATACGTATATGATTGGATTAGACAGTAATATCATTGTAAACAGCTATTTAAGCTTAGTTGACAGCAAAAACTGTCTATCAATAACCGTAAACAAAGTTTTTGCAATTTCAAAATTTTACGATAACAATTAAAATTTAAAAAAAAACTTTAAATTAAAAAAAACTTCGGATTTTACAATAGCCTAGACTATATATTACAAATGACTAGACAATGTAACTTTAAGCGTGATAAATATCAAAGCCAAGACGCACTTGAACACATTAAAGTAATATATTATACATCAACGTTACACCTACACTTGTAACAAATCTCAGAAGCCACGCCCCTTTTATGACACAAAAAAGCAGCCGGCTGCAATATTATAGTATATAGAAGCAAATTGAAAATATAAATATTCAATTTATAAAGTCACGATAGCAGTGGTCGGTCAAAAAGTCAATAGAAACGCTTAAAAATAAACCAAAATTATAAAATTTTAAAAATTTGTATATAAACGTTTTTTTTCAAGGTTTAATACATGAGGAATACACATACGTATATGTTATAAACTTATAAAGAATGTATAATACAATGTTGAAAAAACATTATAATACAGTCAAACCTCTTTAGTATAACACTCAAAAAATGGGATGATAGCCATTATGACCAGGGTGGCCCACTATCTAAGTATTCTTCTGGAAGAACTATTACAAAAGGCGGCCAGAAGTGCTTTGCCAAACCGGTCCGAGACAGTAATTTTTTGGCCCGATTCGGTTTAGATCGAATAAAAAAAACCATCCGGACTGATCCGGCAAAACACTAACAGTCAAAAAGCTGTCATCATAGGGAGGATACCATACTATAAAAATTAATACTAAAAAGATTTTACTGTATTATAATCGTGCAGACAAAAACAAAGCTAAAATTATGATAAATGTTAGGTGGACTACAAGATCATTTTGTAACGTAAAGTTAAAAGCAAATAAGCCGTGAAAATGATATTGACTTCATAAGACGATATGACAGTATTAACAGTATTAACTGTCTTTTTTGGTACAATAATATATTAAAGAACAAAGTACGACAGTCTTTGCCATTCCATTATTAAAGTCTTTACAATCTCTTGATTATTGTCTTGCAAACATATAATAACATAATAACAGGTTGTGTTGTAGACCTCCAATACCTCGGGAACACGTGGTAAATCTTTGTATGTGGTCCTTACCACAATAATATATAAGAGATATAGATATATATAAATAGTAAAACTCAAATTTACTTTCATTTTTTAAGTTTTTACAGTGTAGTATAACGTAAAATAGACAACTAAACAACTTACTGTAATGTCACAGTATACATATTTAACTATATGAACATTTTTGAAAGATATGTCATATGTATCTATCTTATTTACACAGTAAAACACATAAAACTTATATTAATAAATCTACTCTGCAGTAAAACCTCTCTAACAAAAGCTTAATATACATCTCAAGATACCAAATAAGCAATTTTACCCCACCATGACTGTAACTGGTATGTGACAGGAAATAAAGAGATATACCATAGATGACACAATGGTAATTCCAATTAAGAAATGAGAATGTAAACAATGAAATGTAATCTTCTTACACTGTAAAACATCACAATTACATCACGGCTAAGCTGGGTATGAAACTTGTTGTAGGTTTAGCGATGTTACTATATATAGGTTTACTTTGGTAAACAACGTGCATATCTACATTATAGATGTTAATATACAGCACAATAAGTACCAAAAATCATAGTTTAGTTTATAAATTGAGCAAGAAACTATATTAATCATTACCTTGTAGTACTGTACCCACGCATAATACCCAAAAGTTCTCACAAACGTTCTACCATGCCATTTACAGTAACATAATAGAAAAAAAACCGGTTATTTTGCCATTTCCAACCCCTCCAACTTGAGAGAAATATGAATAAATTAACCCTTTCAAATTGCAAATTCCCTTTACTTTTACCGATAAACATTACTACGTTGGCATACTTATTGACAATTCATTAAAATTGGCAGCTATTTTGTTTACAGTCAAGAATTCGTGACACAAAATAATTTTATATTATATGATACTACGGTAATCAAATGAATTATCAGAGAATTGTAGTAAACATGGGGGCGACCTAACTGTAATTCAATGGTTTAGGCTTGGAACAGTTACATTACAGTAAATTTAAAAAAAAGTATTTGATACATTATACAACGTATTTTACATTACAAAATATTTTTAATCTAAAGGTTAAGCTAACAGTCCCAAATTCAGTAGTTTCCTCAATTTCCAATAATAAGTAAACTAAATGTCAAAAACCTAAAACTATAACAAGGAAAGTACCCATCCTGCTCTGATCAAAATCAGCTCAAAATTTTAAATGAGTTTTTTGTAATACTAATAGTACACACAAGAAAATTTTAGCTTGCGTTTTCAAGTTTTAAAATTTGAATATTCAAGCTTCTCGCCAAGTTAGAAAATTTGGCATTGTGTAGCAATTTCTTTTTTAACGTTCCAGAAAAGATATTTTAAAATTTAAAAATTTAAGTTAATTTAAACGTTTTCTTCTAATATATCAAAGAAAAATGATTATCAGCCAAAAAAAATAACAAAGTTATAAGCCTGAAACACAATGCCAATTTGGCGGAAAATTCAAAACGTAATTTTGAATCTCAATTTGCTAAAGTTTTCTTGGTAACGTATAATACTTTGTCGCACATCTTTATATTTACATGGTTTTTTAAGTAAAAAGTTTAAAAATAATGATTAAAAATTTAAATTTCAAAATTTAAAAATTTTCACGAACCGCAAAAAAGTGACAAAAATTAACTTCTAAATGATTGTTAAGGAAAGGCATATTGTTTTTGTCAGTTAGCAGAATATTTAAGATATATTATTCATTGTTTACTCATCTCAGCGTCTGATAAATATCACACAGAAATTGACTTTGACAATAAATTTTTTTAAATTTTAAAATTACAAATTTGAAAAAAAAAATTTTTTATTTGAAAAATCTTAGTTATCTACCCTTAAAATCATTTTAAAAACATTTTTAATCTTTTTTACTCCTCTTACTTTACTCCCTCACCTCCCCTCTTTCCCTCTAAAAATAAAAATTTACCCTGCTCCCCTGCTTTTTTAAATTTAAAAAAACCCAGCGCTAAAAGTTTAAAATTTTTTACATGGCCATAACCTAATAATCACGGTAATTACCGCCATTTAGAGCCATAAACCGCAGTAATAACCACTACAAACTATAATGTCTCGGAAACACTCGAGTAAACATTCATAAAAAGCGACGTCAGTGCACTCCAAGAATTTTGAATTTGAACATCAATCTAGGCTACGTAATAACAAGATTACTCAAATTCTGGATGACAAATTGGCTGGGGTAACAATGAGTAGGTAATTAAGGGGTGGGGGAACTAAATTGCTGCTTCAAAGGTTTATTATAGCGAATTTTGAAAGATGTAAAGAAAGTTTTTGCATAATCAAAACATTTCTAACTTTACTTTTTAAATTGGTATACTGTAACAAAAGTTATGTCCATTTTCAGCATTCCTAAAGCCAGTAATTACTCTATAAGACCCTACTGCCACATATACACTTCAACAAACGTACCCATGCCCAACATACCACCGGTTAGACATACGTTCATTTACAGTTCAGTAAAAACAAATTCAACATGTAAATACTAAAGTAAAATTTAAAATTTACCGAAAAGTAGACGCTTATACAATGGTAATAACAAATTAGCCACGAGAACGTACTCCACCTGTACTACAGGTGATCATATGGTAGAAATGCTTTAAAAATGTAAATTCTCAAAAAGGAAATGATTATGCTATACGCTGAAGAGTATGAGACAAACAAATTTGTGTTCTTTGTACTACAACATATCAGAATTTGTGATTTACTACAGCTTCGAAATCATTTTTAGGCTTGTGCAGGCTGCAGATTCAGTTGCGCAGCTTGCGCCCAAGAAAAAACGTGAAAACGTTACTAAATTAAAGAAATGTTTAAAAAATTGTTTTAAAAACTAAATTTATTTACAAAAATTTTAAAATTAGCTACTTATTTTACTGTAAATTTAAAAAATGTGAAAATTCAAACAATTTAAAAAATCCTACCCTAATAAAAATTACCCTAACCCACCCGAAAAGTATCCGGACTTTTTCGACCCGAAGCAATTTGGGTCTGGTGTACTACACAGTAATCCAATTTGGACTTTTAAACCGGATTCAAAAGTTTTTTTTCAAAATTAAGCTCCGCCCACTTTTTGAAGCGTTAAATTTGAAGAAAATTGGTAATAATAAGACGTCATATCGAATGAGAATCACAATTAGACCCGCATAACGCATCGTGACGTGCTTCTGAAGCTACTGTATATTATGCATCGTACGTTATTGCACAAGATACGATCGAAAAAATCGAAATTTATGGTTTTTAAAA